CGGTTCATATTTGGATTGCGCAAATTTGACCATATTTCCCAATTTCGCTCACGTCTCAAGTGGTTACCTATCCGACTTCGCCGGAATATGCATATTCTTTCTATTCTGTACTGTGTATTATTTCACCCTTCTACACCTCCTTATCTAAAGGAGAAGTTTAGTTTTGTAGGGCTTCCAGGAGAACCTCTACGTTCTTCAAGAAAATTCATTTTAGGGGTTCCAACTCACAATACTTCCTTTTTTAATAAATCTTTTACTGTCCAATCTATCAAGCTCTGGAATGCCCTACCGTTGCGTATACGTGAAGCACAAACGATTGTTATATTTAAGCGACTACTTAAAGAGCATTACTTGTCTCAGTCGTTTTAACACCGTTAGAATAAATTAAGTGATTATGTATCTATTGTATTTATCTGCTTTATATTATTGTTTGAGGAATTTTTTATGTATATGTATATATATATCTATATTTGAGTAAATGTGTAAGTTTGTTTATATATTTATATATATGTATGTATATTTATATTTATATATGTTTTACTTTATTTTTATTATATTTTAGCAATTTATATAATTTCATGTATTAGTTATTTGTATGTTATCTTATTGCATGTATTGTCTATAAATCGCTATTATATTATGTATATTTATATTGCACCACCTACCTAGTTCTCACTGTTCTAATCCTTACACCTTTGGTTGCCTGGAAGAGATCGCTATGTAGCGATAAGGCCGCCAAATTGTACTTACATAATATTATAATCTTTTTTTGTGTTTTGTTAACTGTATATTTGTTTGTGGTGTACAATAAAAGTATATTCATTCATTCATTCATTCATTCATTTTTCCGAAATCTGAGTAAGTTTAAAATTTCGTCATAAATATTGGCATTAGAAATAGATGGTTGTCATATAAGTGCATATTATTTTTGTTAGGTGTGCGCACTGGGACTTGGCATCGTAGTTGTTGGGCGAGTATCTGGTTGCATATTACGACGAAGGCTATGGTTATATCACAGATTACCTCCTAATAGATACCGCATCATGGAATATTTGTTCTGTTTCGATTTCACCAAATTTCAACTTGCGGGGGACGTGTCAAATGCGCTGTGATTGGATAATTCAAGGTTGAACTTTGAATGCTCCGAACCATAGTGATGGGACAGGGTTGGGACGTTGATCAATAAATTTGGGATTTATTGATTATTGATAAATAAATAAATTGATCAATTTTTATTTGAAATTTATTGAAAAATAATATTTTCAGTTATATTTTCAGTTAATGAATATTGATTTTTGGTCCCGATCTTCATAAAACCAGCTTACAGTATCTTGAAGTCTTGCATTGGTATGCTTGGATTTGGATAGATTTTGTTAATTATAGATGCAGATGGCAAGCTTATGGAGTGAAGGTGGTCTAAAAAAGCAGTTGCTTTGTCAGATGGTAAAATTGTGAAAGTGTCGTCTACGTACCGCTTGTAGAATCTTGGATTTATAGGAGCAGTAAGAAGGGTTTCTCTTCAAAGTCCTCCATGACTCCGACATATAATCGGCGACTAGAGGAAATACAGGTGAGCCCATCGCCACATTTTCAACTTGCTTGTAGAACTCTTTCTTCTACAATAGATAGCCAGATATGAAGCAGTGTTTGAGTAATACTGCATGTTTTTCAGGCATATTGTTATCTTGTAGCTTCCTAGTTACAATTGAGAAGCAGTCTTCAATAGGTAGGCATGTGAATGGTGACTGAACACCAAAACTCACCGTAGTTGTCAGCGAGATGTAGGTCTTTTATCTCACTAACAAAATGATCCCTTGATCCCTTGTGTGTGCTCTGGTATGTCCTTTCGGTGGTGACAGTATTTTTTCCAAGTGTTGTATCTAAAAGTAGTATTATTAATTAAAAAACCATACGGTACGTGTTTCAAATTTAGAGGTACTTGAAAATTACAATAATAATAGGATATTACTGAAGTTCATGTAACACTACAATAACAATAATCACATTATACATTTCACTTGTTTTATGGTTTTTAAATCCGTTAAAAATAGTTTAATTTCGACGTGTAGCATTCGCCTAAATATTAAATATCACGTTTCAATCAAACACTTAATGCTATTACTTATTGTGTAATCACCATTGGTATATTACTTTTTAAAAAATGTAAAAGTCCATACTAAAAGTGGCAAGTATAGAGATGGTATTGCGGAATCCTACAGGCTTCCACGGTTTTTCATAATATGAAGATTGTCTTCTGTGAAGTGTCTTGAGCATATCACACTATTTTTGGTGGGAAACCATCGACAAGTAGCGTCGATCCACATCTTTTCCTTTCGGGGCATTTAGGAAACCTATAACATATAGGTACCACAATTATATGCCACTATTTGTATAAAATAATGGCTACAAAAAAAAGTTAACGATGGCCAAACAAATATCGACTTATAAATTACAACACTATCGATACACGTGCTGTCGTTAGACAAAGACAACTATTTTAATTTACGTAATGAGTGAAAGGGACATTTCAAAAAGACATCAACGGGTGATATTGATTGACGGGGATTGATATCACTTTGCAACATTATATTTCCAGTGTAAGTTGAACTCCGGTGCATTTGAAATAGGTAGGTTAAGGTGATAAGAATAGAATTTACTTACTGATGAAATATTATGCCATCTTTTTGATAACTGGATGTCTTAGCTGACTTGCCACACCATTTCACTGCATAGGAAGCTATTTGTAATGTATTTTAGATACAAAATTATTTTTAAATTTTCAAAAACTCGGACGTGCCTACGGGTCACGAACTTGGTCGACAATAATATCGTGATTCTTAGCGTCACTTCATATGCTAGCTACAGCAAGTACGTGTTGCGCGCTTTTGTGGCCCTGTATGCGGAATCTATTAGGAGGTAATCTGTGGGTTATATTGTCGCTTGCGACATTCATTTATCATATGTCGCGGATTTTTACAATAGCTGCATATTTTAAAAAAGTTTTTATTTGAGATGTTATGAGAATTGGAATAAGAATTATTGTTTTGCGGATTAACATAATAAGATTGATGAGATTGTTATTTTTTTACTGTTATTGTAGCAGCCGGAAGAATCACGACTGAATTATTGACATATAGAACATTGTTTATAAGATGTGAAAGAAATTTTGCTCAGAGGAAATAATTTTTCGTTTTCAATGGCATGCGTAATCACCTCGCTTAAAATTTTCAGGTCCCAGCATCTAATAATATACCCGTAATTGAATTTTAAACCTAATATAAAAGTGTTGAGGGCTGAACCTCCATAGCAACAAACTCGAGCACAAGCTGCTGACTCAGACTTATTCTCACAACTTTAATGTATATCGGATTGTAATCGCGTTAAACAATATTCAATTCTAAGTGAGTATTTCATTACGGTTTCGGAATATCCCTGTCTACAATTTTGGAGTCCTATTAAAAGGTGTGTGGAGTGTTTCTTTTCGCCAAAGGTAATTTTTAGATATTTTTTTTAATTTATCCCCCTATTAAAAGTTTTTAATGAGCCCGAGATTTGGGCTTTTTGCTATAACTGGGATATGATATAGCGATGCAAAACTTGTTGCCGTTCTGAATTCGCGAGTACTATGGCATTACGAGTATCACAGTTTGTTAGGATGTTGGAAGCGATTCTCTATCTTCATTATAAGGTTTAATAAATTTTGTAAGGACGTATACGGGAATTTCGTCAGACACTCTGACTATTCCTTCTGGTATTTCCTTTAAAGTTTTAGTCTTGCATGTGGAATTTAAAAATAGTTTAGGGAATCAGGAAATACAAACTTTTTAAAATGAGGATATAGTGACACAATAAATGACAAAAATGTAAAGAAATAAAATAAAACTAGTATAAAATTATCGCTAAATTAAAGTTAACTTACGATATCACGATACTACGGTGGAAATTGTTCGTCATACAAGTAGAGAGTGATTGGAGTCGAGTTGCCGTGAGAACCAGAGAGTCGTTTGACGGCGGTATCCACGTGGTTGTGCGGTGGGAGTGCAGCAGCTCAAGGCAGGCTCACACGCTTGTGATGTGTTGCATCAAGATAGATATTTCTAGAAAATTTCATACTAGTAGTATCTACACCTAGTTAGTCGGGACCGGAATGTACTCGAACATTCTAGATGTTTCAGTAGAAGAGTCACTATATAAGGTCGGTTAGGACCGCGAACGAGTCAGTATTGAATTGGCGATGATTGGCATGTGAATACTTCGAAGCGATATAACTTCGAACTAAAGTCATCAGTAGTACAATTTGTGTTTTATTACTAGTGTGTTTTAAGTTGTAATTAGTGTTCGGTAAATATAGTGTAAATTTTGGTAATACAATCGGCAGTTTTTATTGTCATGAACCCCAAACTTGAACAATATTATGAAAATGTCACGCAATAGCGACTGTCGCTTAAATAATGCAACCTGTATGACGGACGTCACTTATCGCCACAAGCACAGTGTTTTGTGGTACGAGGCTCGCAGCTGTTGTCAAGCTTGAGGTCAGGCGGGCGAGGAAACACGGGCGGGATCTATCAGCAAAATTAATTAGCGGGCCGCAATTTGTAATGAGTTTTGGAACGCTACTTTTAATTTAACTTTCACCAAACAAATATATTCGTTAATTTTACTTAACCCCTACAGCTAAGTTGAAAACTAAGTTTAATTGCGAAATTATGTTTTGTGCAATTAAGTTATTGTGGACCATTTAAAAAAAATCCAATTATAGTTTTTTATTTAGAAAAAGGGTAACCTTATTTTATTTTTGTATTATTTTTTTAGAATAAGCGTGATACACGAGCACACAGTGATGGTAATAAATTTTATTGCCCATAGATATCTGCTTAAATCCTCATTACAGCCTATCAACGTCCACTGCAGTAAATAGCTCAGTCACTCGCGAGCTCTCGTACAGCGTAGTCTAATTGTGTACGAATAAATTTATCCTCAATATTTAATAAGTAAGAATGTCTAAATGCGACAATTGTGATAAGTCCATAACAAAAAAGTCACCTAGGCTTGAGTGCAACAAATGTGGAAAAAGAGTACACGCCAATCAATTATACACAGGCTTATCTTCGAAGCAGCTATCAGCTCTGCGCAATGCTGAAAACCTGGAGTGGACATGTGAGGATAGTCGTAACGAATCGCCTCATCGTAAGTCTTTCATAATTCCGGAGGACGATGACGATGATACTGATGGGATTCAGCTGGGTGAAAGCGGTTCGACAGCGATAAGTAAATTACTTCGTGATATCTCACTTGAGGTAAAGAAAGCAGTGAAGATGGAACTGGCTTCTGTGAACGAATCGTTAAGCTCATGGTGTATAACAATGGATACTATAAATGCTACACTGGAAATCCTAACTGAGAAAGTGAAAGACTTGGAGAAGAAAAACATGTACTTGACAAATCAAAATACCCACTTGGAATTAAAAGTTAATGCTATGGAACAACAAATCAGAAATATGGAACAAAAACAGTTGGATAATGTACTGGAAATAACAGGAATTCCCGAAGATAAGGACGAGAACTTGGAAAAACTTTCAAGTAAACTAGCCTCGAAACTAAACGTAGAGAAACGTCAAGCGTCAATGGTGAAAAGACTGAAAGGCAGGGACGGTAAAGAAGGTGTGATCCAGGTAGACGATGATGACAACAAGAGGAACAGGTCGACCAGTGGATCCGCGCTGCACGAACGGAAACAATTGCTTTGGAAGATATAACTCCAAATGCCCCTAATCCTGAAGTAGCCAAGAGAAGAGTGTTACTTCGGCGTGCACTAACCAAAGCAAATAAAACACTTCTGTGGCAAGCTAAACAAACCTTGAAGGAAACTTACAAATATATTTGGTTCCAGGGTGGTAAAGTTTTGGCTCGTAAATTTGGTAATGACAAGCCCGTTATCATAGGAAGCTCATGTGATATTGATAAGTTGTCTTCTCAAAAATATCGATAGCAGTTTTACACAACGCATCAGTTCCTTTACAGGAAATACAAGAATTGTTTGAATGTACTAACATAAACGAGTTTAGTAAATATCTACCACATAATATACAACAACTAAATATTGTCCACATAAATTTGCGATCAATAGGTAAAAATTTTCGTCTAAAATTGATGTCGAAGTTATTATATTAACAGAGGAATTTCCAAATGCAGTAATCTTGTTCAATTATTTAATATTCATGGCTATGAAATGTACTATAAGCTTCGTGAACAGAGAAGAGGTGGTGGCATTGTTATGTATATAAAAAGTACCCACAAGTTTCAAATTCTAAATAATATATCACTAAACCATTGTGAATCTTTAATAGGTAAATTATCTACGTCACATCAATACACGGCACTTATTTGTTCATTGTATAGACCATCCAAAGAAAGCAAACACTTATTTATCAAAGAATTGAAAAAACTGTTGTGTAAGGACGTTTTTCAATGCTCGGATTTATACTTACTGGGTGATATAAATATCGACTTAAAGTCGCATGATAACATACGAGAATACTATATAAGTTGCATGGCCGAATGTGGACTAGCGAGTGCAATATCAGATTACACTAGAATCGAAAACCGAAAAGATATTACGCGGAGTTGCATTGATCATATTTTTGCAAGAACGCGCTCGCTAGACCTTTATTCGGCCGCACTCGGTACTGTAATAGCGGACCATCGTATGGTTGGTTTGTCGTGCATAGGAAGCGGAGTTGCAAACATTATACGGAATGGTGCAAAAGTTAAACAACTAATTGATTATAATATATTAAAACAAAAATTAAATGAAATTGATTGGAATGGTGTCGATACGATGTCATGTCCAATAGAGATTAAAAATAAATTCAAAATGTGTTACGAACTATCCAAATATACACAAAAAATATATTTAAATAGCAAAAGAAACAAAGAATTATGGATAAATAATAAAATTAACAACATGTGCCGAAAAAGAGATTTACTTTTTAATCAGTGGAAAAAGGATATGAATAATTATATACTTAGATTAGAATTTAATAAACAGCGAAACAAAACTCAAAAATTAATTGAAAAATCTAGAAACAAATATTTTAATGATTTAATTAATAATAATAAAATGAATAAAAAGAAAATGTGGGATATATTAAATACGCTTACTGGTAGAGTCTGTAAGTCAGTAGATGAAGCTGTAACCAAAGCATTCAAGAAAAACAATCTAACCTTAAAAAATATAGCCAACAATTTTGCTAAAGAATTCTGTGAAAACGTCAAGAAAATTTTGCCTGGATGCAGCAAAAAACTTATGTCAGAATCGGAATACATATTTCCTGAAAACAAATCTATGTTATAAAAACCTACTAAGCGCGATATACTAACTATTATAAAAAGTTTAAATGCAAATAAATCGGCTGGTAATGATAGAATCCGATGTTTTGACGTTAAGATGCTGAGTGACAAGATTGCTAATATTGTAGTTAAGCTGATAAACACTAGCATAGCAGTAGGAAAATATCCACAAGAATTGAAAACTGGCACTGTAAGACCAATTTATAAAAAGGGATCACATAGTGAGTATGATAGCTATAGGCCTATAACAATACTGTCAGTCATAGATAAGGTAGTCGAAAAATATGTGGCTCAGCAAATTCACAAGTTTTATTCTAGAAACGATATATTATCAAATGCTCAATACGGCTTTCAATCTAAGAAATCAACTACTATATTGCTGTCTAAATTCACGGACGAAATAAACCAACACCTGAATGATAAAAAACATGTCATATTATTATTCATTGACTTTAGTAAGGCATTTGATACTCTTAGGCACGATATTCTTATAAAAAAACTTGACAATACAGGTATCCGCGGGCTAATATTACAATGGTGTCAAGATTATCTCAACGATAGAAAATACCGGGTTAAGATCGGCAATGATTTCAGTGACGAAATATTTGTAACTACTGGAACAGCACAAGGCTCCGTGCTCGGACCCTTGCATTATCTAGCATACGTGAATGATATGGGAAATATAATAAAACATTGTTCCATTTATCAATACGCGGACGATACATGTCTTATAGCAGTCGATAAAGATCTAGATAAGGCCGAACACCTTTTACAAATCGACTTCAATAACTTATGTAAATGGTCTCATGATGTTGGTTTAGTACTGAATGCTAGTAAAACTAAAATTATTCATATTCGATCTAACTACCTACGCAATTTTGATAAGAAAATCGAAGTATATCATAGTCATCAGTGCTTGCATGATTTTGAAACAAATAGGACCGGGTGCAAATGTGAATTGTTAGAGCAGGTTCCCCGTTACAAATATTTAGGACTAGTAGTCGATAACAGATTTAACTGGGATTATCACATTGACTCAATACGTGAAAAACTGAGAGCAATGCTGGCCAAATTTGCTATCTTGAAATACAAAGTACCATTTAAAATATTACTAAATTTATATAATGCACTCGCAGAGTCAATCATTTCATATGGGATAACTAGCTATGGTAGGACGTTTAAAACATATTTGGACAAAATATACAGCCTACAACTTCGGCTTTTAAAAATAATAATACCTGATAAAATTAAAAAATCAATCTGCTTCGGAGACTAAATATTGTGAGATATTGCCTGTTCATATTAAAATAAAATTGTGGCTATTAATTAAACAATTTACGAACAAAGAAATACAAATAAAAGAGAATCATAAAACAATGACACGGAAAGTAACTCAATCAAAACTAGAATTACCAAGAGTTAGAAATTATTACGGAAAATGAACGAACGCGTATTTAATACCAACCCTCGTTAATGATATACCTACTAAAATCAGATTAGGAATAACGGACAAAAACTATAAAAATAAATATAAGCAATACTTTAATTCTTTACTTTAATAACAAGTTGTCTAATTTTAATGAAATCAAACCTAACATAATATCATATCGATAATCGAAACATTCTGTCTATAACACACTCAAGTAGCATCAGCCGGCTGTCCGCCAGCCGCGCCGAGCTGCTTATCTATAACTGGTTCCTTTATGTCCACTTGTATGTAAATAATGTACCTATACTTCATACTGTTAATACTATAATTGATGTTCTTATTAAGTAATAATACGTATAAACTAATGTCAACAGATTGCTCAAAAGTGTTTCAACATCCAGACAAACCCGTAAGGGTTTTTGTGATGTTTAAATTGTGATTTCATGTATTTTTTTTCTTATGTTAAATAAATTAAAAAAAAGCTCTTCCCTATAGATTATCTCGTATGGAAGATACTTGGCATAGTTACTATGCTTGACAGGTGGCTTAGTGCAAGCAATAATTGCAATTCTGTTTTATTTAATGCACCATTTCGTAGTGTAAATAAACAAACACCGTAAATAATATTATGTGAAATTACCGAAGTTTCTCACATTATGAACGCATTCTAAAATTTGAATTCAAAAAAGAAAACACATTTTAAACAACAACATTATGCATGGCCAGACTAGATTTAAGCTCACGGAACACAAGTACTCTTTAAGCTATTTTGTAAACAATACAATGGACCGACAATGGACCGGTATCGGAATACCAATTTCATTACTTGCCATAAGAGTGGAGAGTGAGTGGAATCGAGTTGCCGTGAGAAACAGGGAGTCGTTTGACGGCGGTGTCATCGTGGTTGTACGGTAGGAGGGTAGCATCTCAAAGCAGGCTCACACCCTTGGGGTGTAGACTGACATCCTTGATGAACTTCGGATTGAAGATGATGGCTCAAGCTCGTGGTACTGAGACTTCGTTGGTGCTTTGATGATGCAGGCTCACACTCGTGGTGTGGAGACTTACTGTCGATCTACCTTCAGAATTTCCCAGGATTCGGATACCACCTTGGATAGACTTTGTGACATCCCACTTCTGATACTGACCTAGTCTATTTGTCCGGACCCCGAAGATATGAGGAGAACCAATCCCGTACTGACGAAGAGAAACCAAGATGACAAAAACAGAAAAAGAATAGTATTTCGAGCACTATTCTCTATTCTATTTTTTTCTGTTTTTGTCATCTTGGTTTGTCTTCGTCAGTACAGTATAAAAAAAATCCTATCTCTCAAGTTGGACGAAACTGCACACGGTGTGCAAATTTGATTAAAATCGGTTAAATTGTTTAGGAGTCCATCGCGGACTAACAACGTGACACGTAATTTACATATATTAATATATACATTCTTTCTAATATTGCTATATAATAAAATTGGTATTCCAACACCACTTGGAATATTTGTCCTGTTTTCTAACCAATAAAAATGTTAATTCCTTCATACGTGGTAGATCCAAAGCATGAATGGGTTGGCTCAACCGGGGAAGGACCACGCTCTCGCAGAATAAAATAGCAGCGTAAATTAGTAGGCTAACACGGCTGTGTTTCGTAAGATCAGTGCAGAGATCCGGAGACCCTTCTTTACTGGAAACGATACATTCCATCTTAGTCCTCAGGGGTGACAACGCATCTGTGGTTTGATCCTTAATCGAGGATAAATGTAGATGTCTATGGGCCACAGTATCCACTTACCATCAGTTGGACTGTGTGCTCGTTTGTAACCGTTATTCTATTAAAAATATATTCTCAGGCAATGTCTTGTCGGTTACAAGATAGCTTAAAGAATACTTGTGTTCTGTGAGCTTAAAGCTACTCTGGCCATGTATTATGTTACCATTTTAAAAGTTGTTTTTTTTTCTTTTTTTAATTCAAATTTT